TCGCAATGCGACTTGGACTTGGTCTAGGGCATGTACTGTGTTCGTTCACTCGGAAGCCGGGATTGTGGATTCGAATCCTACACAAGGCATGGATGTTTGGTGTGTGTATGCGTTTATTCTGTGTTTGTGTTGTCCTGTCTGTAGGTAAGGGCTTTGAGACGAGCTGATCACCCGCCCAAGGAGTCCTACCGTCTGTAAAAATGATCAATGAAACAGAGAAATCAGCCCTATGCTCCAAAGTGGGAGCGAAAGAAAGAAATTCTGAGTAGGCCCTGAGCGTTTCGTTCCATACGGACGCTGTTATTAGTCACTGATAATCTTCTTACCAATCGAGGGTTTATAGTGAGATACGCTTTACTCTCTCTCTCTCTCTATCTGTCTATGGCTCTACAGCCCTTTGGACCTCGGCCGCTTCTTCAGTTTCTTAATCCTATACACAGTCAGTAGCACTCCTTGGATGGGGGATCAGCCCGTCGCAAGGCCGCTCCCTACACCCAGAGCAACACAAACACAGAATAAACGCACACAGACATCCATACCTCAAATGCGATTCGAACCCACGATCTCAGCGTGCGAGCAGGTACACACGGTGATAAACTTGAGTGTTTCGTTAAATATGTAATAAATAAATAGATAAACAGGGATATATGAATTCACTTAATGAGCACGGTTTCTTTTTTAGCGTAAAGGTGGATCTGGGTTCGACCGGTTCTGAAGATTTCTGAACCCTGTCTTAATAAATAAGTTCGTAAAGATCGCTGTCCCTTATTAGTACATACAGCAGTTCTGTACTCACCCAGGTTGAACAGTTGTGGACATTTACGATGTTGATCACATGACCCAAGAACATCAATTTCATTTCTTATGAAGTTAAATGCCCCGAACAATAGACGTAGCGACATGCCAGCAATATATTCACAGATCTTGCTCCGAATTTCCCATAACACAGAATCTGTAAAACATCTGTTAACATGGATGCTTAAGACGTTGGATCTGGGATGTGATCCCGTATAGTTTTATATATGTTAGATGACGTTTCGGAGGACCATACTGCTCCATCCTCAGGGTAGAGGAGAAAAATGACCATGGAAAATGTATACTCTGATGTGAGCTGAAGTTTCGGAGGAATATGCTGCTCCATCTTCAGGGTAGAGGAGAAAGATGACCATGGAAAATGTATACTCTGATGTGAGCTGAAGTTTCGGAGGAATATGCTGCTCCATCTTCAGGGTAGAGGAGAAAGATGACCATGGAAAATGTATACTCTGATGTGAGCTGAAGTTTCGGAGGAATATGCTGCTCCATCTTCAGGGTAGAGGAGAAAGATGACCATGGAAAATGTATACTCTGATGTGAGCTGAAGTTTCGGAGGAATATGCTGCTCCATCTTCAGGGTAGAGGAGAAAGATGACCATGGAAAATGTATACTCTGATGTGAGCTGAAGTTTCGGAGGAATATGCTGCTCCATCTTCAGGGTAGAGGAGAAAGATGACCATGGAAAATGTATACTCTGATGTGAGCTGAAGTTTCGGAGGAATATGCTGCTCCATCTTCAGGTAGAAAGGCAACACGAGTATGGAAATAACTGTAGCTAGATGACGTTTCGGAGGACCATACTGCTCCATCCTCAGGGTAGAGGAGAAACAAGAACATGGAAAATGTATACTCTGATGTGAGCTGAAGTTTCGGAGAAATATGCTGCCCCATCTTCAGGTAGAAAGGCAACACGAGTATGGAAATAACTGTAGCTATAAACAAGGAGGAACGCCCGGGTTATGGGCCTTGAGCTAACGAAAAGCATTAAGAAGAGCTCTGGAAGATTCTATGATCCTTAAAGGAGTCATTTTCCAACAGTAAGAACAGGGGAGAAATTGTGGCTTTGAATAAATGGGCGGCCGGAGGAGGTCGGGAGAGACGGAGAAAAACGGTTCGGCCAGATTAAACGGTGAAACATCTCAGAAGACATCAATCTTCATAGTCCCTGCCAAGGAAGCCTGAAATCTCACAAGAATGCTAAAGATAGATTAAATATTGATGAACTATAACTGCATCAACGTTCACTGTCTGAGCGCAGAATACAGACGGAAGATGCATTAGAACACAGTTCCGAGGCAATTATTCAGTTCTGAGAGAGAGAGTTCAAGGACAGAGAGACTGAACTTAGGACTAATGGGGAAATGGGAAATATGCATATAGAAATGCGGTCAGGAAACTTCAAGGGAAGTGGCCCTTTTGGAGAAATAGATGTCGAAGGAAGGATATATAAGATGAATTATAGAAAAATACGAGTATTTGAGGGCCGAATAATATCAAATGGTGTGTTGCTGTAGACATGTTGATGAACCTTCGTGCTCCCTAAACAGTGGCAAATTTCGTGGCCAGCCTATCAGCTTGTCAAGGAAGTTTCTGCACTAAGAGAAGTCAAGTTGTCCTTATGCTAAATAAATTAAGCACTATGCCGCGAAAATATATTAGGGAAGTGGGGGTATAGCTCCATCATTCTTGACCTCAGCACTAGATGGAGGTAAGTGGTCAGCTACACGCCCCGGCCACTTTAACCCCTGAGAAGAGGCCCATGTACGCATTGGATATGAAGCCGAGTGGCCCCCAGAATCGGTCTGGACATTGTACAGTAGAGGAAAATCGCTTGCCCTTACGGGGAATCGAAACCCGGCCGTCCAATACGTAGACAGCCGCTGTGTTCACTGAGCTGTTCGGCCCCTGCACTGTTCAGAAAAATGGTTAGTGTGTTTGTACAACGATACGAGGTTTGAGTGAGCGTTGTGGGTGACAGTGGGTTATATAGTGATTTATTGACTAATTCTGTAGTTCTTGAAATGCGTTGTCTAAAACGCACAGTAGTTTCTGAACATCGCGGAATGCAATGCAAAGACGACAAGAAATGAGTTCATAAATATTCGGAAAGACCTGTACTATCCCAGCGTTCACGTTAGAAGACTAACAACTAATGACAAAGAAAATATTTGTCGGGATGGCAGGTAAAGGAAGAGAGATTTAAAGTTGGTACCTTCCTCATAAGCACGCGGTAGCGTAGTTGGCTGAGGCACTATTCTACAAGCCGGAAGGTCGCGGGATCGAATCCCGGTGAAGTGGATTTTTTCCAATTTACATAATTCTTCCAGCCGCACTATGGCCCTGGGATCGACCCAATCACTAATAAAAATGAGAACCAGGAATATTTCTGGGGCTAAAGGGCGATCGGCAAGAAACGCTGACAACCTTACCGCCATCTATGAGCCGATTGTCTAGAAAATGTGGGAGCCTCAACATCTCACAATCCCATGGGCCTCCATGGCCTGTTACAGGGATACCTTTAAGTGTTTTACCTTTTACATGCCCCATAAAAGCGTAGAGCTCTGTTCTTGTGCCAACATGCTCGAGTTCAAGTAGGCCTGACGTGCTCCAGCCAACAGTAGACGGACTTTGCCAGTGCTAATCATAGCGCTCGCTTTATGTCGCTTGTTTCTCTTGCGAAAAGAAAATTGGAGTGGTTTTTTACGTGTCAAAGATGTTCTACAGCCTCTTTAATAATGTAAAAGGTAAGACCAACGTGGCAGATTTTACACAGAGGAGCTAGAGGCTTAGTTTCTAGGTGTTTCATTATTTAAAGCATCAAGCAGGCAGGACTGGACCTGTGAATGGTACGGCCAAGTATACGTTGTTGGGACTGGGGTAAATGCAGTAAATTCTTTATAGGGGAAATGTTCACAGAACGTGGGCAATAAGAACAATGAATATAAAAATTAAGTTGTTGGGTTTAGGTATCTGCGAGAACTGACATTTTCTTCGATAAAACGCAGTGCAGTCTGGGGAAAATCAACAGAATTTTCGGAGGAAATTATAGCCTGTATTTTGAGGATTAAACGGTAAGACAAGAGACCAGCATGGAGTTGGTAGCAAGAAGAACAAGCTACATTTTCCTCTGAAACATCTGCCGACTTCCACCGGATTTCATGGCAGTATTTCCTACAAGATAGAACTCTTCCGAAATGAAGTTTTCTCTGTGCTTACACACTGGCTGCGAGGGGTTCGGGGGGTGTGGCATTTTAATCTTGACATTGCATTGAAGTGAGTGATCAACTTCACGTTTCGACTCTCTTAACTTTCGTGAAAACCTCTCTAAATCGATTTACAGAATAAATACTTTATTTTTGGATATGTTTCGATTTATTTCATCTGCAGCTCGTCATACGCCCCCCATCCACCCTATAGTCAGGCCGTTGCCGTGTGAGTTCCACTGGACCTTGAGCAACTGTAGCTTCCTCTCTTCCACTGTTTTAGGACGGCCGCACACCAACTGAGTCAAAACAGGCATCAAGACATGAGACAAAAGACACAGCCTTGCTTCATTCGTGATTCGTCAGCATGAATCTGACGTCAGCATCATGACTCAGACCGGTGTGCGGCGGTTTTCATAATCTCATTCTTTTCAGCTGTGCTCCTTTCTTTCCTTCATGTCGCAGACATCGTGTCTTGACTGTTACATGTCTTGACGCATGCCGGTGTGCGGCCTACTGTAGCGTCCTCACTTTTAAGAGCGTATTTGCCCTTAATAGAACACTGTCTCCCACCTTAACCAAATTGTGTGGACTGACACTGGATGATCAAGTTCACAAAGCAATAGGCCCTCTGGTTTCCATTCCGTTATTTTGACTTCAGGTTTTTGTCCAAAAACGTTAACCAATATGTATATAAGCTATATTTAAGAGTTATATCATCTGAGATATGTCCCAAAAGACAAAACTCTTTTATTAATATAACTTAAAAATTTCCATGTATTCGTTGTCGCTGAAGTATGGGTTCCCATTTTTGCCGTTGCGCAGCGGTGGACGTCATATAGTATGTCACAATACGTTGTTGAAGTAAAATAATCAAAGTAAAAATTTATGTTGCTGCTAGTTCGTCACAGAGTTTTATTGTTGTGTTGACATGTACATTGTTTATTCTTTATAAGTACGGACTGCTCTGTCTGTTCCAGAGGCTTCTCGGTTGTGACTCCGGAAGTGGCTGCTCCAGGCCGCACCACCGCGGTGCTTGTGACACTTCATGGCACCGACGCTTCTCAAGCAACCAACGTGACGCTTCGCCTTGTATCGGACCGCGTTGAAGAAATGACACAGCTCCTGGCTGAAGTCAGCCAGGAAATCAGAGGTGAGAATATTTTTTACTCCCAACCATTAAAAATATAGTTAATGTCTGTGAGAATAAATACAAGAATACCATAAAGTTTATGCATTTAATTAATAGTTCTTCTTCTTCTTCTTCTACTACTACTACTACTACTACCTTAACGGATTAGGCTCCGTGATCCAATCAGAATTGATTTATTCTATAATTTTAATTGGTAGGTCCCTTTGCACAAGCGACCAGCCTTGTCGGAAGGCCGCTACTTACATAGGACAACAAAAACACAGACGAAACGCAGACATCCACTCCTCGAGCGGAGTTCGAACCCATGATTCAAATGTTGAGCGTTCGAAGTCATTTCATATCCTGACCGTGCAGCCACTGTGATTGTCTTAATTAAGAGTTATGAGGCCAATATTTTTCAGTCTGAAATGGCAGTCTTCAGGGGAGTCTAATATTTGGAGGAAAAATTACGCAATTTTACATACATCGCTTTTATTTTTTTCTGCGTGGGCCATTTAAAATATTAACACTTAAAAATTAAATGATTAAGGAGACAATGATGTATAGTAGCAAAAGCTTTTAGTTCCTGTTACTGCGAATCAGCCCAAGTCATGCCTGACTTTGTTTTGTAGCCCACATTTTATGGCTCCTTATCCTATTGAAGCAGTGCACAACATAATATGTTACATCCAGGAGTGCATTCACGACAGCTAACTGACATCTCGTCAGGAGAAGTTATCGGGTCTGAGATATTAGCGTTAGATTGAGTGAACATTCCACTTGTAACGCTTTCCAACTTAGTTCTGAAGCCGAGGGAAGGGGTAGACACTGTCAGGAGCCAGACAATTCTAAACGTCACTTTCTCTGTCGCAGCAATGCTGTTGTGTGTCAGAGTGAACATTTGCATATATCACAACATTTTATTGATCACAAGAATTATATATAAGCATAAAATACACTAAGAGAATCGGTGACATTTCTTCGAACGTGGACATTTTGTAACATTCAAAGGCATAAGTTTCAGTAGATATCAAAACAGAAATGCTTTTCGAATACAACTCTTTGTAAACAAAATTTGAAAGCGATGACCTGTACACCTCTGTACACCTCTCTCTTCTTGGAACATAATTCTTATTCTTGATACATTTTCAGTCGTTCAACTAGTCAGGTGATCGGTTCGAATCTCGTGACAGAACATCGACTATTCTGACTTAGGTCTTTCGTAATTTTCCCCAGTCCTCATAGATAAATTTAACCTTTAAGTTAGACAACCTTCGCTTCATTTCACGTCCTTTCAAATTTTTTTGTTTACTTCCTTCCAGTTACTCAGCGCCATATGCTCTGAGTAACTGGCACTTGACAAATAAACTAAAAATAAAATGAATACAAGTAAAAGTGCTGCAGACCCGTGCCGTAGCTCAGGCGGTTAGTTGCTGGTTTCCCACCGCGGCGGCCCGGTCATGTGGGATTTGTGGTGGACCAAGTGTCATTGGTACAGATTTTCTCCGAGTACTTCTTTCTACCCTGCCAATTCTCATTCCACCAATTGCTCCACAATCATCATCACCTATCATCCTGGGGCTGGTACAATAGGCCAGTAGTGGCCACAGTACCAAGTCAACTCACTCTCACCCCACTAAGTACTCGTATAATGAAAAAGAATGCTGTGTCTCGCCTTGCATAGAACCAGAATACTGAAAACATCTTCCTGCGTTCTCGCTACTGGTTCAGACGAAGCCAGATGAATCCACTCCACGACCTCACAGAGTATTCTCTTTAAGATTCATTTTTAATTTATCTGCCAATTTACGGTTAGATCTCCCTAGGTGTCTCTGAAATTCGGGATTTCCCAATACAATTTTGAACAAGCCCATTACAACACCAGCCAGCACTGGGGCAGGTTTACTCCGAGTACTTTGTTTTCCCCTGCCAATTCTCATTCCACAGACTGCTCCATATTCATTAACGATCCTATCATCAACGGTATATGGTCTCGACACTGTCAGCCTCGTTACATAAGAAACAAAATCAAACGCGGTCTCTGCCGAAAAGGTTAATCTAGAGGTAAAGCTCCAGATTTCTATTCGGGAGGTGCTCGGTTCAGATTTCAGCTGAGACGTCTACTGTCCCCTCTGAGGTTTTAGCAGTATTCCTCATTGGTCTAGGAAAATTCCTGGATAGCACCTGATTATACCATGACCGCTTCCTTCCGAATCCTTCCTAAGTCATCAGTCATTCTATCATCTCGCGCTATATATAGTCTCGATACTGAACGCGTCGTTAAATAACCAACAAAAAAGAGAAAATAGGAAAAGCCCATCTAATCCTCTCTTCTTTTTTGATTTTATCTCTTTAATAACACTTGGCGAAGAGCATATTTTTTTTTTAAATATGTCGTGGTGTATTTGCTTCATGCTCCCGTCACCCCCTCTATTTTGGGTCCAAAATATTCACAGCGTTCTACTGTCAGTCGCCTCAGTCTCTGCTCTTCTCTTAGGGTGACTTCAGATATCACATCAGCACGAAACAAAGTGAAAATTTATATTTTGTGTACATTTATGCTTTTATATAGAAAGTTGGAAGACAAAACGTGCTGAACCGAAAAGAGTCAAGCATTGCCCGGATATAATCTGTATTTTATTAACTGCAGGGGGAGGGTAGTATAACTCTTATAAAGTAAGAAGAATGGTCCATATTGTAGCATGAAGACCCATTACTAAGTAATGCTAGGCAACGGATTTGTAACTATCAACAATTGAACTACAACAATGAGAAGGGATATTTTCTACGCGGTCCGTGCCGAGGTGTTAAACGCAGGACATGTCTAGGATTTAGTCAGTCGAGTCAGAACAGTAGGAGGTTGATGTGAGATGGATGTCAGCCTGGGAATGAATGCAGTGCAGTGCAGGGAAGTGAAGAGTTAGTTGAGGAGATAATAAGTCAGAGAACTGCAGTTAAGTCTTTGTGAGCCGTTGCTGTTAGAAGCCAGTAGCTGAGACACGGGGATGTTTGGGGAGCCCAGAGTAAGGGGAATTTCTGCGACTACTATGATCGGCAGAATATGCAGAATACCACTCTAAATCAATGAATAAAATACTGTGTCATAATTCGGTACAAGAATTTTGACTGCAGAATTGGGGTTGGACACAGCTCGGTATGTCGTGACGTCAGGTAGGCGTTGGTGCGCCGATTCTACGAAAGTCGATGATAATTGGAGCAGGGTGCTGAGGGGAATATGTGAATGTATGAGCGAATAAGTGTACAAGAATCTTCCACAATTTGTAGAACCACAAGCTCAACTTTTTCATTTTTACCCTGCAGATAGAAGCAATATATCCCTCCGAAATATTTACATCCATCTGCAAGACTACGTGATATATTACCATCACTTCTTGATTGTAATACGAGTATGCTTAATATTAAAAAGTTCCGATATTCCTCCTTATGCTGCTCTGTATATTAACGTTCGAGTACAGACTGTAGCAATGTTTTTGTATTTCTACTCAAATTCTCTCCTAGCCTTCTCTTGGAGGCAGTAACTGCTTTTGCTTGAGGTATTTTGAGAGGGTGAGAAATAATATATAAGGTTCCAGTCCTCTGTCGGGGGAGAGTTTTAGCGGCCTAGTGAACAGGCAATGACTACATCAAAGAGACCGTGTGAGTGAGCCTTTCGTGATTATCTTCTGGTCCGCTGAAGCTGTTGCTGGCTGGTCTAATACAGATGGCTGCTTTCTAATTGAGCAAGATTTAATTTACTCTGGTTCAGTCCAACAGACAAATGCCTTCCTTGCTCTCTGTCTATCCCATTTCTTCCCTTTGCTCTCACTCTTTGTCACCCAGTTTCCCTTCATTTCATCTCTGTTCACATAACCTCCACTAATGTAGTTAAGATGACTTACTAGACCTCTGTTTGTTGCAAGTGTGCATGAATACAGAGGGACTTAGGAGTCCACCTCTTATGCTAAAACCGCGGGGTGTTTACCGTGCAATCATTATCGACAAACGACAAGACAAGGACTTCCTCTACACCTGCAATCCTCTAGTGCTTTCACTGGAATACAATTGGTCAAATCAATAACAAAATCATAAGCTTTCTTTTTCTTAATGTAATAACTCTACCTTCAACTACTTTCAAGGAGAAGAAGCGAATAATTTATCGTAGATAAGCTGTATAATGTTGTGTTTTATAGATAGAGGGAAAGACAACGTGGATGTAACCTTTCGTGGAAATCTGTCAATTGCTTCAGAAATTGAAAAGGGCCACATATACACACAAAGAGCATGATAATCCCCTAAATTTTCAATTCTGCTTGAATGAAATATACTGAAGTACAAAGAGAAAGTCGATAAATTTTTTCTGGTTTCTCAAAAGTTATTCTGCTTTATAATAATTCTTCCATGGCTTGATTTAATTTGTTTATTTTTATGAAGCCAATAAAGCGACACATTAGAGAATTCTGGAATTCTGAGCGACGTACGTACATTTTCGCTTACGCACTTCCGGAACTCTTCAAAATTTTATTCAAAAAAGGATTTGAAGTTTGAATATGAAAGGGAAACTCGTTAGCTACTAGAGAAATATTTACTTCAGAGAATGTGTTATCCAGATAATATCGGCGTATTCTTAACAGTGCAAGTTAATACTTCATCCTTATCTCGTGGGCATTACATAAGTTGCCTCGTCTAATTCGCCGTCTACTCGTAGCAACCGAATTTCCCCTTCATATCCTCCGGTGAGGTGTTTTTATAAAATTGCAAAGATGTTCAGTGACCTTAAAAAAATTCTCTACAATTAAGCCTCGGAGTAGAGTTCTCTGCCGAAAAGAAAAAGTGCAATTAGCGGAAAATTGTTCCCTTAGTGGAAACTTAACCGCGTGTGTAACGCTTTCATTGAGCGTAAAAGCGTTCTCAGAAAACAGACGCTGATTCCGTGTAAATCTTTCGCTCGCTTAGGCAGACCTGTGAAATGTCGAGCGGAAGAAACTCTACACAACTACACAACGTGTAATGAAATTCCCACT